ACACACACACACACACACATATTACTTTGATAAATATATTATTCATATGCATTTAAGGTAATGTAAAGAAATATGTTTTATATGTACTTGTTACTTGGGACATTTTTAGAGACATTAAACTGAAAATTGTATAAAAAATGATATAAAAGTTATATGATATATAACTATAAATATCATGGACTGTTATTCATTAACATTAAGTTTTTAAAATATTTTACAATTTGAACTAACTTTGTCTTGTTATAAAAAGGTAAAAAATATCTGATATTTTAAGAGATTCATTGATCTTTACAGTCATTATATTTAAGTCATGCATTTTGAAGTACTTTTTAAAAAAAAGTAAAATATTTTTAAAAATGTGTCACGTCATTGACCCATATATCTGTTTAACACTTTAAACCACCATGAAAGTGTGAAGATGAAGCTATAACAGGATCAGTTGCCTGTAGAGGAAAGAAAAAGAAACAAGAGAAAGACATGTCGGAAGAAAATAATTATACCTCTTTTCCCCATTAGCTGGCTGGCTCATCTCTGAGCTTGCAGACATTCCCATAATGCACCATGGCTCTTCTAGCCTTGACCCCCATGATTCCCTGCTGTGTGGGGTCTCCAGCTGCACTTAATCTGCTGTCTCTCTTCTCATCCCCACACCCTCATGACTGCGGGGAGAGCTTAAGTTAAATCAATGTGCTTATGTGCTGTCTACACTGACATACTGGGGGCTTGTGAAACCTTAATCATGACCCCACAAGCATATTTCCTTTGATTTGGGTGAAATTGCTTTTGTCTCATTCCTCAAGTCTGGTCTAGTTTGGAAAGGGATCCCAGTGTTGATTGGAAACACTACTTCACAAATACGTTGTACGTCACAACCTTATTGTCACTACTACCACAATAAATAACTACTGAGCGTGAGTGTGCAAACGGAGCATTGTATAATGTAACATCAGTATTGTCAGTGTCATTGCTGCTCTATACAGGGATTCATGACTGATGACAACCACAGCAAACCCACAGAGTGTATAGCTTAATAAACTAGTGTTGTCACGGTACCAAAATTTCAGTATCCGGTACCAATACCAGTGAAAATCCACGGTTCTCGGTACCAATTTCGGTACCAAAGCAAA